GTGTGAGGGGTTGGTGGTTTTACTTATCACGTATCAAGTGACAAGTAGCAGGGTAGGGTTTTGAGCATGCCATCTGGAAGGAGTAAAACCCAGGGCACTGTGCAGAGGATGGGGAAAAGGCACTAAAATAGAATGTAGTTCAGAATATTTTGGAGGTTCTAAACTTCTTCTGGCCTCTCTCTGTATTCATTTTGCTAAATTTTGGGGCTTGTCCTTGAACTGACTTTCAAGACAGCATTCGTCAGGATATGAGACTTCCTGCAGACTCTACAGAATGAGTTTGGTTTTCTTTTGCCTTTTTCTATTTCATTGCTTTATGTGCCAAGTGCATTTGCAGGTGGAATACAGAGTGGCAGTTTTCTAGCAAGGTGGTTTAATTACATCCAAAGGCTTGTAATCACAAGCTTTGGTGGGACAGACTATGAAAATGCAGTGTAAATGGTGCATACAAATTTTAATTAATTGACCTCTAACTTTAATAAAGGAAAAAGATTAATTGCATTATCCTAGGTGCTACAAATTATTTACATTATGATTTTATTTGAATGACTAATAAATTATAGGAAGGGAGACAAGTTTTAAAAAAACACCCCACAGCATAGGTATATTTCATCTGTACATCTTAACTAAATATGTGTTTAAATTCATGAAAGTATTCTACTGAGTTCAGCTTTTACCCCACTAGACAGATCCAAGGAAATGGTAAAAGATAAATGCTTCCAGAAAAGATCTTTGATAATTTTTCCTTTTTTTTTCCCCCCCCAATTTTAGTTAATATGTGTGCTACAAGTTAGTACACCTTAAAAGGGGAAAGTATTTTCTGTATAGGTCTTATCTGCTGACTGTCCACCTTGTTTGCTTTTCTGAGTTTAGCTTGCTGTATTGTACTCTGCTCTCTCAGTTCTTGAAACTTGACATACAAATCTGTATATGGACTTCATCCATCATCTTTAGCAAATTCTAATCAAAAAATGTAGTTTGCCTATCACTTTCTTTTATAGAATGTTGTTAATTGTAAGCACTGCTGAGAAACATTAAAGTATCTTCTAAGCATTTGTTCCTTTTGCATTTTAAAGACAAAAAAAAAAAAAGTCCCACCTTATTTTAAAGTTTATAAAAATTCCAAAAATGTACATGTTAAACTTATAAAAAAAATCTCCTATAGAATAGATTCTAACAGACAACTTATATAATGGGAATTACATATTTTATTAAATAATGTGCATTTTGGGTTGTGGTTTTTTTTCTGATTAAACATAGTTTCATATAGCCTAAAGTAGGTTATGGTAAAAATTTTCTTCTGGTGTTTAAATAAATGCAGTGTGACATTACTGTGTCTTTGGAAACTTGGCCTAAAATTTGATGTAACTGAGAAAAGATCGCAGCTTTAACATAGTTTGGGGGGCATTTTAAACTAAATGTGGATTGAAAGAAACAGCATAACTGTATATATTTACATTAAGATCTTTAGGTTCTAACCAATTATAGTAAAAAAAAAAGATTTCTTTTCAGATATGGCTTTGGATATCTGTCAAAAAAGTAAAGCCCTTAAAAAAAAAAATCTACTCACTTCGTGGGATTTCTGTAATTTTCTGCCAATATTCTCTATATATGTTTTCTAAAACAGAAATTATTCCCCTAAACATGAATACAGCCTGGATCTGAATGCCTGTTAGTCTATCCCAAACATTTATTTTTCTACAGTAATAAAAAAGAATTATTTGAAGCCCAGGGCTAGAAAAATGGAGGGTTAAAGGAAATACTGCATGAGTTTCAGCAAGTCATGTTTTGAGGTGCAGGTCCTGCTTTAAGGCAGAGGAATTAGTGGCTGAGTTGCAGGTGATGTTTTTACTTTAATACCTTAATATTCTAAAAGTAGAGAGAGTAGGTGAGGAAGGAAAAAATTCATGTTCTTAAAGAGGGCACAACTAGAAAAATATGTAATTTGATTTAAAAACATGTTCTCAAATATCTTGAACTTTGAAATAGGAGGTAGAATGAGACACTTTTGGATTAATTTTAAAAATTCTATTTGTTTTAAAGATGCTGCATAGGGATAGGAAAATATCAGAGGTTTATGAGGTGTGTGTTGACCTGTGGATAAATACTGATTTGAATCAGTCTAACATTTTGCAGCTGCCCTTTTGTCTTGGAGGAAGAAATGTATTTATTAATCTTGTTATATGCGAAGGTGGTTTTTTTTAGAATCTATAGTCTTGTGAAAGCCTCTATAGTGGTGTATGCATTTAGTAAGAGTTTCTTTGTTAACATTTTAGCAACCTTTAGCAGAGAACTCCCAACCAGAACACAAGCTACTTCTCTCAGTATTATAGATTTCTTATTTTAAAACAAGTATCCAAAACAATGTAAAACGATGAATAATTTTAATGATGTGAAAATATTTCAAATGTATAGATTTTCTGATGCAAAAGAATTGTTTTGCACTCCCAAAGAGTGGGGATGATTTCCATTATTTTAAAAATTTCCCCACCACAGGTTATACAAAGCTTGTATAGTTGTATTTTTTCCTCTGGAGATATACCTCATAAGAGCTTGCAAATAATTTGACCTTTTATTGTATTTTGCTTTTGTTTGATTGTTCCTTTCTTCTTCCTAATACCAGTCTCTAAGGTCTAGGTCTAAATTGTGGAACTTGTTCCTAATGTACTTTCTTCTCTTCCCACCCCAACTTAATTTAAGCAATAATGTTGCTGTCACTCATTTGACTGCTGTTATTGCTCATGGGACACTAATGGAAAAAAGATAAGGCTAGTAGAATTGCACTCACTGTATACTGAGACTGTTTCTTAAGCAAAAGTGTCATCTAAACTATTCTGTAGAATCTATAGGAGGAGGAAAATTTGGGTTTTATTTTTTTGTTTGTTTGTTTTGGATTTTGGTTGCGGGAGGGATGGGCTAAGACAGTTAACAGAACCAGGAGGAAGGAAAAGCTGGATTTGGTACTTAAACTTTTAGTTGCATAAGGAGTTTCCTTTTCATGCAAATTCTAATTTACTAGTTCATTATTGTTAAATTATATCTGCCTTCAATCAAGAGATCGCCTTTTGTTCTGTACAGCATGTATCAATCAAAGCATTTGAGTCAGCAGAGTACCAGTGGAGCCTATTTATGTGTCTGGATGTTCAGGCAATTCACATATTCAAATAACAGATACAGGATACTTCAACTGCTCTGCAAACTAGAATCCCACATGCCATACAAAGCTCTGAAATTGCATCCATCACTTCTCATATTTCAACACCGACGAGACTTTTGGCCTTCATCCTATTACATAAACTCACCAATCTCTCGTCTGGCTGTACAGTCATTACAAGATGAAGAGATTTGAGTTCCCTATTTTCCATTTCACCTTTCCTGACACATCCCCAGTTTAATCTTCCCAGTGCTTAGTTATTGCAAAAATGGGCAAAACACTGTGAAAACAAGTATGCTTCCTTCTGTAAAATATATATTGTAACATATAAATGAACTCAAAGTTCTCATATTAGTGATTAGAATATAAAATAATTCAGCTTTAAAATGACCTCAGATAATTTTTCCCGGGTCCACAATTTCTTAATGATTAAACAAAGAAACAAGAAGGAAAAAGAATGAACTTCAATTTGCCATAAATATGTTTGTTTGCTTTTCCCAAATAGCCAGTGAACAAAATAATTTTTTAATTGCCCAGCTCTTCCACTGTGGCCAGAGCCCTCTATATTGTCTTGGTGTTTGTTACTACTTTCTTCACATAGAAGAAACTATGTGGGAGAAACTTGAAACTCATTCTCATCTGGGGGTTTTACAGAAGACAAGGCAGGAAAGATTTTAGGAGTGCGTGTGTGTATATTTTGTTTGTTTGTTTTTATAGTGGGGTTATCTTAAATAATCCCATCTGGTTCAATTTGGTTTTGCTTTAAGTGTCGACCCTCCATCTTTGAGGTGATTTCTGCTACCTCACCAGATGTTTTCCTCAGCATCTGGTACACACAACTAAATAATATGTACAAAAATTACCTTGCATCTGGATTTGGTGAAAACATGGTAGATATTCCTTAGTGCAGTGTTCCTTCATGTCTGTGGTAGTACATTCTTCATATTGCAATTCGTTTAGGCTGGCACCTTTGTATTACTTACGTAGGAGTTCCAAAAAGCGTAACATTCAGATTGTGGCTGCGGGAATAAAATGCTATTTTATAAGCACAGCAAAGCTAAGCCCCTTACAAAATAAAAAGGGGAAAAGGCATCTTCATACTGCCCAACAAATAGGAGTTGGCTGGTGAGAGGGATGCACAATGAGAGTGTTCAGGAGTAAGACAATCTGATGATATGTGATGTATCCCAACTTTAAAAGTGTTCAAGATCCGATACCCTAATGTTCAACAGCTGTATTTGAAGGATAGATTTTTCAGAAAAATTTAAGATCCCATTTAAGCATATCTAAAGCTGCTTAAACAGGAAAGAGGTGTTGGCTTTGATAAAAGTAATTAAAATGTAGTTTATTTTTTATCTGCAATGTATAGAACACAAAAGTAATTTTAGACATTTTTCAAAAAAATATAAAATAAGAAGTTGGCTGAGAGCCCAATGTTCTCACCTGCCCTTCTGCTTGCCTTTGCATCTTGACAAGAGTTGTGTTTCTCTGGACGTCCCGTCTCTTGCATCAGAGTTTTAGAACTGAAAGCAATTCCTTCAGAAGTGTCTGACCCTAATTATGTCTGACAGTTAGGAGCACATTAAAAATATTTTGAAAATTGTTTTTTTATTTTGGTGTCTTAATTGGAGGGTTGTCTGTAAGTGTTGGTTTTCTCATCGGTGAATTGTACATTATGCATAGCACTCTGCTTTAATATTTGAATATTTATAAAGTACTTTGCGATCTTGTTAGTGGCTTTTGTGTAACATTGGACGTATGTTTAATAACTTCTCTTTAAAGATAAAATGAGCTAAATGGATGTAAAACACAATTAATTAGGCATACTATTTCTTTTCTAGTGAACAAACACAAGCCCTGGATTGAGACATCGTACCATGGAATCATAACTGAAAACAATGACACTGTAATTTTGGATCCTCCCCTTGTTGCTTTGGATAAAGATGCACCTGTTCCCTTTGCAGGTAGGAACATATATTAACAGCAGCATTTGAGCTTATGGAGTGCATTATGAAGTTATTAGCTTTTGTAAGGAATGAATTAGCAGTGCAGAGATAATGTAATCTGAGAGACATGTTTAGAGGCTGTATGTGGGTACTCGGGACTTCACCATTGGGCCATACAGCTTGAAACATGGTGTCTTTTACAATGAATGTGTCTGCTCATTTGTTGTGAAGCAGAAATGATTGTAAACAACACAATATTGCAGGCTTCCACTATCAACTTATTTTTTAATGAAAACACAATAATAATATAATTAAATTTGAATTTGTTTTTATAGAAATTAATTACTACAATTGCCTAAAGTAATAACACATAGATAATTTTATTTAGTAATAACAGCCCCTGCTTTCTCTGCTCCGCTCCCTGGCTATGGACAAACTATGTGACAAACATATAAAGTTGCTCAAATCTTATGCTATTGTGTTAGTACTTTATAACTGTCGAGACTTAGACAGAAAATTTAATGGAGGTTTTGAAGATTTTCGCTCAGATTGCTTATGATAGATGTATGTCATATAGAATTTTTTACTTGTATTAAGTCTATTTTTCCTGACACTTACTCTGTCATATTATGAGTTCCTTAAGCAGAAAATAGGACTTCTGCATGCCAGGCAAATGTTCTTTTAAATTCCCTGTTTCATTAAAAATGTTTTTTGAAGAAAAGGGAGAATATTAAGGCTTGATAGCTGTTCTGAAGATCCTAAAGAGATGTAGTTGTTAAAAAGATTGTATTGCTTAAGAATGTTCGTCTTTTACAAGGAAAGGAACTAGTGAAGATGAGTATCCTTGTGTTCTTGTGGAATACAGTCATGTTCAGTAAGCAGTAAGTCAAAGTACTTGGCCCAAACAGCGTTTTACAGCATCATGTAAGAATTTTTATTAGCCATTTTCCCCCAAAGCATATACTGGCATAAATTTATACCCTGCAAAATAGGTATTCATGAATGCTTTTTATATATTGAACTCCATTTTAATATCAAGATTGATTTGTCACTCCTGGTGCCCTATGGTTCTTGGTGGTTGCACAGAACACTTTTCTTCCTCAACCATATATGCACTGGGGATGTTCAGTGGGGGGGGGATTCAGCTACGTTTAGTCAGAAGTAAAAGCTTCAAATAGCATATACGTAATGGATACAGCAACCTCAGCGTGAAACACTTTTGCCTGCTGGTGAGTTCCTATGGCACTGAGTTACTTGCTTATGGAGGCATAATCAATGTCCATTCAGAGCTATGCAGACAGCCTCTAACTGGGAAGTACTAATTATAGTCAAAGCAGGTGTACTTCATACAAAGATGCTCAGGATAAGGTGTCCTTATCTCAGTTACTAGTTTTTTAAGCGAAGGAAAAAGTATTTGTTTCCAAATTATTCTTTTTAATGCATTCATCAAGAAGCAGCTATATGTTAAAACAAACAAATAGCATGGAATGAAACTTTGAACCATAAACAGTTATCCGTAATGTATTTGAATACACGTTTTTCTTATAATGGTAACTTTCCACATACATTTGCAATTCATTCTTCCAAAATTTGTGGAAAACAGTAATGTAAACTTAAATGAAATCCTTGCTAAACTAAACCTATCTATGAAATCTTCAGGTACAGGACCAATTCCTTGTGAAAAGATGCCCTTTTCATTTTTGGAGGGTTTTTCTATGACTATGAGTTTTCCATCTGATACTTGTTTCTTTTACTTGCATTCCCTTGGGATCCTTTAAGGGGTGTTACTCATATGTGCTGTTTCCACTGATACTTTTACAAACTCTTTGCTGAATGGGAATTTGCTAGCCTTATTATTTTCTTTGGGTTTTTTTATTGAGACAATCGGCATGTTTTTCCTGAATTAGTGATTTACTCTTCTTGTAGAAAATCATCCTTTGGGATATACTGGACTTGCACAGACAGACTGGCTTTTGTGATAAAGGTTACATTAGACAATAGTTTTAATTTAGTTTCTTCATTTATTGATTTGAATTATTTACATTTTAAGAAGCATTATGTGGTCTAGGAGGGAAAATACTTGGTGTGTATTCCCTGGTATTATTAATAGTTCATTTCCAGGTAATATTGTACATTTGGCCTCATGATCTGCAATCCAGACACAATATTATAATACTGATTGAACCCTTAGTTCCCTTGAAGGGCCTGGATTCCCCACCTGTTTGGAAAAAAAACCTCTATGTGATTTTTTTTTTTTTTTTAAGGCTCTTGCCTTTTTAAATTGTTGGAATAACTTCTTATTTCTGTTTTAAATTTCTAGTTTAATATTATGTAACTTTATTTGGCTTCATAATATTGATTTTATTATAGGTCTTTATGAGAATTCAATTTCTGTAATGTATTTAGTACGAGAAAACTGAAAATAGATACAGCTACAGCATTAACAATATTCAGTAGCTGTACATTTAGTAGTATTGTAATGTGGAATTTCTTTTATAACCATATTTTATTTATGTGTGGAAAACTTACTCTACAGTATAATGTATGTCTTCAATTGTACCAGAGAATAAAAGCTCCAACAGTTCCTTTCCCATCACCCTATTAATATTTTCAGTATTTTTTTCCAAACATTGTACAAAAAAAAATCATGTTTATAGTCTTTTAAAAGATTTTCCATGGTGACGTTTTTTTAGGTTTTTTTTGGTTTTTTGGGTTGTTGTTTTTTTTTTTTAATGGACACAGATTCAAAAATATATCAGGGCAGTTTCTGACCTGTGCTTAGAAGTCTACTTAGATCTCCTTGAACAAGCTATATTAAGACTAAATGTATGTGGTTTCTTCCTAAGGATCTACAACTGCTGCAACAGTTTACTGGCAGATTGTTGGCTGTTCCATCAGTATTTGTGTTAGCTTATAGAGTAGACATTTTTTTCAATAATATCAGTGTGTATTTGACTTTAAAAAAACCCACAAAAACCAAACAACAAAAGAACCCCTCCAACAAACCAAACCAAAAAACAAGCCCCAAACCAAACAAAAAAACCCCAATCCAGCTGTGTATCATTTCAATTTTCATATGGGCATAAGTCCCATAGAAACAAAATTGAACTAACCACAGAAAAACCTCTCAAGTTAACCACCTGGTTGACATTCCTAGGGAATGCCTTTCTAGCTCTGTAGCTAGATGTTATCAGACAGTGTAATCTTTCTACTTTTTTTAAGTTCTTCCTTTTTAAGTGCTCAATCAGTGACAGGCTGAGAAAAATTTACAGGTTTTAGCATTGAAAGGGGTGACAGGTCATGGTAGGTGAAGTGCATATTTATTTCATACACTTATTTACTAATTTATACCTATTTATTCCATATTTATTTCTATATCTTGCTAGTGGGGGTGTAGTCCTTTGAGAATTGTGCTTAACTTGTGGATGCAAGGGTAGATAGTTCTTATGTTTATGGCCAAGGCAAGGAGGGCTTCAGAAAGGAGGTGCAGTAGTGTCAGCCCAGAAAGTATGTCAAAACAAGTGTGCTGGCGCCGTGCATGGGAGACTGTAAACCTCACTGAGTTTTTGTGTCCAAATTGTCTGCATTATGCTTTATAAAACAAAGTTAGTGTTGAGGTCTGAGATATCTGTAGGTAGGCTAGCACTGTGGTCTTTAGGCTTATAATGATGTCAAGACATGCACTGCTAATAGCAGACACCAGCAGACAATGAGATTGCACTGTGCTTTTCGTGCAGGAAAGCACAGGTCTGCTGTACAGCCCTGGCTTAAAGGAACCAGGAAGGGCTGTTTGTACCACCCACTGTAAAAGCTCCAAGTTCAGCAAGAGGAGCCTGGAGGTGGTGCAGGTTTTCCAGCTCTGAGCTGTGTGTTATCAGGGATGCTCTGAGCAACATACAGATCACCTTGCTCCTGATGATTGCCCTGGTGTATAGGTAGTTTTTCATATTTTTCACCTGAGCAAATAATCTTTCACCGAATAACTACTTTGTTACTAAGCACAAAAGCAGAACATTTGGTATTCATCAGTGATTCTTACCTGCCTTCAGTGCTTTGGGTTTTTTTCTATACCCGTTCTCATGGTCTCATTTTTTTAGTTTAAATGTTAGTTGTGGCATAGACCTACTGCAAACTATAAACAGTATTTTTGTTCTCTCTTCTGGAAACTTTAACATTATTCTTAATACCTGTGCTTTTTTTCTCTCCATGGCTACTAAGATGTGTCTTTTATTAACTGTCTTATCAACCCCTTCTAGTACTATACACATCATGGTGCACATCAAACACCTCCCTGTTCATGGCGTGGTCACAGAAAACGACTATAACCTGCACTTTTTTTCTCACCTCTGTCTAATATTTAAAATCAGGGGTGATGACAGGAGAAAAAGGAATCTTCTGTGCAGTTACCCTCTCAAGAGGTCTGTGCTTCCAGCGGGGACTAACAAGAGACTAACAGGACTAAAAGCACCTGTGAGAAAGCTGGCTGTCAAATGTGATCAGCCTATTTCATAACTGGAGCATGAAGACTTTTGATCAAAAGATTGCAGTGAATGGTTGGTGGTGTCTCTTTATCTTATGAATTTATTGTGCATTGTGCAATAATTGGAGTATGTGTAAAATCACCATTCTTAAAATTATCATGGTATGAACATATTCACTTTCTCTTTTTCATGCAAGCACATTTTTCAGACACCTAGTTTTGAAGGAAAGCTTGAAAACACCATTGCAAATGGTTAAGTGCGAGAAGTAATATGAGTAGTTTTCCAAACTTTAGTTTTTCAATTCCTGACCTGAAAGGGATTTTCACACACTGGTGTTTAGATACAACTGATCTTTAAAATAACTAGGCTCACCACAGCAGCCTGGAGCCTTTTGCAGGTTATCACAGAAAAAAAGGCCAAAAACCTGACAAAACAAACCCCAAAAAGCCAAGAAGAAACTGCAAGTCCTGTAGAAATAGGTTATGCCTTCCATCCTTGTCTTCAAACAGTATTGTGTAGGTGCAATATGGGCTTACT